ATATAGAACTTACGACGTATTTAAGGCCTAGGATTATCCTTTGCCTATATTCGCGAACGAAGGAATTGTTATTTGCTAGCATAAACATTACTTACTTTAGAAGATACTTTTTGGTACTGTTTGAAGTATTCACCACACTCTGCCTTTTTTACCATTACATAGTGATTTGAAGATGACTTCAAGTAAAGCACAGGAAGATGTAGACGATATATCATGCAAGCATGAAATGATTTCACTGCAAAATAAAGCAAATAAATCACTGACGCAGCAAGTGGTAAAAGTGACCATACTGTGACCACTGAATTTCTACAGACTTCACCATGGCGATATGTAAAACATTCACTTTTAAAACAGTTGAGACTTACGCAAAGTGCGTTGGCCGAGTTGATTTTTTGACATTTTATATAAAGGCCCGCACAGACAGGATTCGATTAAGTTGTTTTTTTCGAAAAGCAAATTAAGCTTTGCCAATCATTATATTCTTCTAGATTATTAAACGATAATACGTTTTGACTGACTGCTTTGGCGTTAATAGATTCAAAGAATTTAATTTATATGCTTTTGAAAACTGAAAACTCGCGTCGCGTTGCCGCATCACGTCCTGTCTGTGTGGGCCTCAAGTATCAAGAAGAAATGAGTTATCAATTCATCTAAAGGTAGCAACTGAATGTAATCCTCTTTCTATCGTACCAGGAGATATCTTTCGGGAGAAAATATAATGCGATAACAACGCACGTTGGCCAAATTATAAATTTTATGCTCAAAATGAAAATTGCGGTGAATTGTTAACATCACGGGAAAATAAGTCTGTGTCAATTCAGTGACTAAAGTGCTTCTTTCGTCATTCGAGGTGTCCTAGTCCACCCAGACCCCTCTGCTATATATTTACCGTGACTTGCCAACACGCATGAAATCAACCTGCGAACAGCCATGTAAGGTTATAGACGTGATTCACAGATAACCAAGGCGTGAGTCAAATCGGCCCAGTTTGTATAAATTCAAGCAGTTCTCAATTATATACAGATAATGTTGATTGGTCCATGACTACCCCGAGTTCCTCGCAGGGTATCATATATAATACAGAAACATCAAATAGCTTGCAAGGAAAAGTAATGCTGATGCATAATAATTCTTGGTAAAACGTTTTTACAATGTATATTGATTTGCCTGCGTGGTATTAAAGGCAATATCTTAATGGAAAGTGTTATAATATTATAAAAAGCATGCCATTGCTATGACATATTATAGCTATGTTTCGTTAAATTCAGACTCGTATGATGGTCATCAATTATCGTCACCCTGAACGACACTGATTTACACAAGCCAACGCCCAATTAGAGATATACATGTAATTATCCCCACCTCTTTTATTCGTTAAATTCTGCAGTCAAATTTTGTTTTGTGACTTAAATGAGGTCAACTGCGGAATTGGTGAAGCAAAACACACGATACGGAACATTAAGATTGTGAAAATCAGCAGAAAGCAGTGTTTATATACTTCACCGTAGTTTATAAGGGTGGAAATTGGATAATGAAAGTGTTATTTGGAATTTACTTATAATTTAATTTCCTTTCTGTTGGGGGTCTTGATGACACAATATAGCAATTATCTTTCGACATTATTATGCTAAACTTAATAACTGATCTCTATAAATTATAATACCAACCCAAGAACCCACGCAACTCGTCGTCACGATGTGGATATGATGCGGACGAAAACAAATGTTGAAACATTGCATACATTATCAGTGCTGGAGTGTACATGATGTTTCCTTGAAGTGAAATCGACGGCAAATTAAACTGTAAGAAGCTGTTATGCTGCATGCGTAAGAGTTACGTAATGCCTAAAAAGGTTTGTACTTCCATAAAGTTTCGCTTGATTGCCCAATTGTTATTTTCTGTAGGTCTACTCAAATAGACACTTAGGATGATGAACTAGGATAACGAAATCCAGGCTTCGAATTTTCCCCACGGAGTAACTCGATACTTGCTGAATCCGAATCATGACGAATTGTGTTTACGTTATAGGAATGGCAAGAACACAAAGGTGTCTTTGTGTGCGTTCTAGTAAAAGGATCGAAAACGTGTGATTAAAAATTATTATCATACCAGCTTTCTCGAATAAATATTTGTGGTTTGAACACGGTACGTCGAAACCTCCAATCAGAGACAATTAACCAATCAGAATTTCAGGCTATATCACTAGCTGTGATTCACTAGGTATAGGAAATATAGGAATGGAATGTTGTACGTCATAGTGTAATTAATAATATATAACAGAACTTCTTTAAAATTATTGCAGAACATACAGCAGCCGATTTACTCAATAAAATCTACCCCGATATATCGCCTCTTTTTATATAAGGAACGGTATAACTTCGCTAAAACTATAAGCCACATCAAATAGAGAGAATTACAAATTAGGTCGTGGTAATGTCTTTAGATGTCTTTAAATTAAATCATTATTTAACTGCTATGTTTATGTTTCGATATCATCATCTTAAAAATCTACCTGAAGAATTTGATAATTTCTTTGTGACCAGTAATCAAATTCATGAACATAATACGAGAAACTCATCAAAGATTCATAAGCGGTATAAAAGAACAAATTATGTAAAACATACTCTCTCAAATAATGGAGCTGATGTGTGGAATTCACTAGAATTAGAAATTAAAGACATAAACTCTCATAGCGTTTTTAAGAAAAAAATTAAAAAACATTTTTTGCTAAATACAGCATAATGGTTCTGAAAATATTCTACTTTTTATGTATACTATCTAGGAACTCGTAGCATAAATGTATTGTGGTATTCTATCTTCTATTGGTATTATAATTAATTTTTACTTTATCTTTCTTCTTTCTGTAAATAGTGGTACTCTAAAAATTATTTTGCTGATTTTGCTGATTTTACTGTACATATATGATTAATATAATTGAACTTTAACTAGGGGCCTAAATTGAAAAGCCTGTCAAGGTTTCTAGTAGGTCTCTAGCCCAAGTTATTATAGAAAATAAATAAAAAAAAATTGATAGGCCCATAATTTGTGCTTCGAACTTTGCCTGAGTTTGGAAATCATCTGAATTTCACGGGATAAAATACATTCGTTTGTTGAATAATAAAATAACATATACGTATCGACATAGGCGTATTTCATCTATTTGAACTATCACTTGAATATACTGATTGCTCGATGAACAGAACTACAATATATTTATAGAAATAATTCTGAGGGGATAGTTCCTTTATCTCCTCGTGTTGATTACACGCAAACAGTTGTTTACTGGTGCTTTTTAAGAAAGCCGGCTTTTTATTGTGCTAATCTTTATAGCATTTAAAAAATGAAAAAGTGGGTATCGTCGCCGATTTTCCGAATCATGAAGATATTATATGTAGATTAGTAATATATTTACAAGGTATCAATTTACGGGTGATGATCAAGGGTGATGACAAGGACAAAGTAAGGACAAACAGTACATGAGAGGACGTGTTCGTCCCTTGCATGGTCAAATTGTGGAAATTGTCTTTTATGGCTTTACTAAAACCACTGTGTTGGTCTTCAATATTTATATTTCGAGCTTTTTAGCATTCGAAAAGTGAAAAAGGGGTATGTATCGTTGTCGATCTTCCGAATCATGAAGATATCATGAATACCCTACACCAGGCTGTAACAAATAAAAAAACAAATTTAAAAGGAAACGATGCACCTCAGGGACCATTTAAGATTTATTGACTGATCCCGAACGGAGGAAGCATCATGTTTTGTGGACCCGAGACCACCAAAACATAGTGGTGGAGAGGTGGTGGAGGGTCCACAAAACATGATGTTTCCTGATGAGATCAGTCAATAAGTGCTTTGTTATATAGCAAGTTTCAAAGGAAAAAAAATAGGTGAAAATACGCAAAAAAACCCGTAGGAAAAACTGACAAACTTTTAATTTTAAGAAAATGAAAACAAAGAATTCGGCTGCGATTCAAAGGTCATAATTTATGTCGCGTGATCTGACCTATAGCATCACGACTTCCGCTTTTATTAACCCGCGGTGGTTAATGATTCAACCTCCGATCAAACAGGTTCAAACCTGCCAAACAAGATTTTGCGGTAAACATTCGGATTTCTTGCTTTTCACGTGACGTAGTTCAACCCATCAGATTCTGGAACATATTAACTTTTAAAACTTTCTATATAATAATGAGTGTTTGTTTCCTTATTGCCTTATTCGAACATTACTACATACACCCCCCCTTCTCCCTAGATCCACGCACCTACCAAAATACGTCGTAACTCATAGGATTGTTTTCACATATATATGTATAACTATATAGGTACACGTCGTTTTTACAGTTATATAGTTGCATAACCATGCAGTACATTATCAGGTAAGAGTTGGAAACTTGTCAGATTGATTTTGTCAATGGATGAAACCTAACGACGATAATTTATTATACGTGTATTTTTTATTATAAATTTAGTCGATATTCACGTACAATATATATGAATGAGATAGTAAAAAAGCATTCGCAGTTTATGAGTGGTCTATAATTGAATTGTCATACATTTCATTTAGTCTCTATTCTGTACGAAAAAATAGCATAAATCTATCTAAAATTCACATAATCATTATAATATTAAAATAATATAACAGCAATAATATAAATGTATTATATGGCATGGTGTGTAAGTGCGGCGTATTGATTGTTTGTCAATTTCACGTATTAAATTTAGGATTTGGAAGCTTCTATTGATCGTATAACGCTCCCGCAATCACTTTGTCTAAAGGCCCACACACACTTGACGCGATTCGCTAACGCGAATAAATAAATAAATTCAATTCTGAAAGAACATTTTGAGAGATATGTATAAGAGAGAGAAATAACTCAATAAATATTTTGAAAGATTTAACTCAATAAAATAATAATTTTAATAAAATTTTTAATAATAATTTTAATAATGGGTACAAGACCAATCAAAATGTACCATCAAATGTACCATATGTTTCACTTTCTTTCATACTTTCAGTTCAGTTCAGTTCAACATCACACATTGTCAAAATTAGCATCTTTGGAAAACCGAAAAATTCGTAAAAATCGCGTCGCGATGGCGGATCGCGTCCGGTGTGTGCCGGCCTTAATATATGGTCACAGGCTTCGAAACGCCACGCGCGACGCGAAGCGATATCAGAAATCCGGTCATGTGATTGGTTTGCGCAAAAATTTGCCGCGAAAATTTGAGTCGCTTCCTACTTTTTATCTTTTCGCGCGAATAAATTAATTCGCCTAGTAGAAAACGGGATTTAAGCATATGCAGACTGCCAGCTTCGGAAACGATATTCATTATTTTTGTTTCGTAATCAGGAAAGGACTAGGAAGAATACTAATATTTTGGAAATGATGCAAAATTAATCAAGTTTTCAAATGTACTGCTCAACTGACGCAAATTAAGTATTCCAATTTCTAGTGGTAAAAAAGCTAGAGAAAAATATAACATATAGCAGAATGTAGATTAAAGGTTTTTTCGGTGCTTTCGCGTTTGAAAAATAGGTTCAAGCACTTTGATTAAGAACTTTAGCAGAAGTCCGTGTGCTTTAAATAAGGCTTTTTGCGGCCTGCGAATTCAAAAGCAGACCGGTTTCGAAATTCTGCCATTCTCGAAATTCATGTCTTATGCTTGAACTATTTTTACACGCACGTAAGAAACAATTGTGGCCATTCTTAGAATTTAGCTCATGTTTATATTATTTTACCTCATCATTTAAATAGTCTGACTAATTATTGCTTCAGTAAATCAGCTTGTATAGGTACACCACGTAAGTATAGTAAATACTTTCGTGGTGTACACCTACATATTTGATATCATCAAGCAAAATTACACGAATATTATTATCATTATTGTTTCTTTATTCGCATGCATTTTTAAGAGTAAATTATTTGGCAGCCATGCATTTCAGCGCATGTTATAATTATACAGTAGGCTAGTGAAAAAGCGTATATAGCGAAGTGCATGAGTGAAAATAAATATTTCATGCCGCATAACACATAACAAATCGCTTATATATTAATCACGCTACGGTTGGTATGAAGCCAAATTAGGACTTTGGTCTAATATTCGTCAACTACAGACCTCACTTACGTGGCCAGCGAGTGGTAGCTATATATATTCAGTTTACGACGAAGGCGGGATATCACTTTTATTTATGAGAGAACTAAGTTGTGTTTGTACTCCCTGTAAGAAAAGTTCCATACTTTGGTAACTCCGTAGTCGAACAGCCTCGTCGGCCTAAAAGAAAGTTTAAAATTATTTCACATACAAAATATATCCAACCTCGAAATATTTAAGCCGTGGATTTTGTTCTCGGCATGTTTGCATTGCATGACAAAAATATCGACAATTTCTTATTTTCATGACGCATATTTAATCACAAGCAAAAACAGCTTTTTTCACATGTTTGTGCGGTAATGTTGCATGCATGTTTTATCCTGAAATTCAAAATAGCTAATATAATTAAAAAAAACTTTTTTGCCTCAATAGAAAGTTCATTCCTGGCGTATATGGGTTAAAAGCCTTGAGAAAGGTAGTAATATTCAGGGGTATACGTTATGAAGTACTTTAGGGAACTGCTGTTCAGGGTACGTTATGAAGTACTTTAGGGAACTGCTGTTCAGGGTACGTTATGAAGTACTTTAGGGAACTGCTGTTCAGGGTACGTTATGAAGTACTTTAGGGAACTGCTGTTCAGGGTACGTTATGAAGTACTTTAGGGAACTGCTGTTCAGGGTACGTAATAAAGTACTTCAGGCAACTGCTGTTCAAGTTACGTAATGAAGTACTTTCGAGAACTACCGTTCAGGGTACGTAATGAAATACTTTCGAGAGCTGCTGTTCAGGGAGTAATGGAGTACTTTAGGGAACTGTTCCTTAAGGTACATACGTAATGAAGTAGCTACTTCCGAGAACTGCTGTTCAGGGAGTAATGCAGTACTTTAGGGAACTGTAATCCAGGGTACGTAATGGAGTACTTTAGGGAACTGTTGTTCCGGGTACGTAATGGAGTACTTTAGGGAACTGTTGTTCAGGGTACGTAATGGAGTACTTTAGGGAACTGTTGTTCAGGGTACGTAATGGAGTACTTTAGGGAACTGTTGTTCAGGGTACGTAATGAAGTACTTTCGAGAACTGCTGTTCAGGGCACGTAATAAAATACTTTAGGGAACTGCTGGATAGTGCAGCGCAGTATAGTAGGGGAAAGTCAGCGTACTCCTAACGGATTCTCACAGGTACCTCTCGTTGTTTTACAGTGGCGCACCTCATTTATGAGTACAATGTAGTGCAGTATTTAAGAGCCTCCGCTAGGAAACATTATCAGCTCCTTCTACAGCACTACAAATTTAAAATGATTTTGCCGAAATAAACAAAAAGGCGGAAAGTTATTTGCAGACAAACTAAAAAAGGCCAAAGAAAGGTGAATGAAACCAAAGCATAAAATAATGGTAAAAACATTATTTAGGGAAGTAATATTGAATTGGGAGATGAAACGTCAGCATAAAGAGGCTCTGTTTTGCCTGGATAATTGTATATTGTAACAGAAAGTGCCCACCTTTTCTTTCTCCTTGATATACTGCCCCATTTCTTCTTTCGTCTTTTCTTTAACTGCGCTAACAACATTTCGTGACTTGTGTCGTTCTTCCGCAATTGCTTCGTCCAAATCATTCTGCATAATAAGTCAAATTCGTGTAACCATAAATAAATGGTTTTAGAATTATTCCACTGTAAAATATTTCACATCAGAATATTCATTAGAACATATATCTTCTGTAAATATATATCAGTTGCAAATACTGCAATTCGTTATATAGGTATAACTAAAACACAGAGTAATCAATACAGAGCTGGAACTGGTGTACCCGCTTGTAGTGCGCATATTCGGCAAGTGCCTGAGATTGAAAGTATAAACAAGTGTGTAATTTATTTTAAGTGCGTAAAATGCTATACAAATGACGATATTGTAAGGCTTCAATTATCGAAAATGTTTAAGCAAGAATTAAATTCAAGCAATTTTGAACATTTCAGGCACTTGCCGAGAATGCGCAGTTGGTCGCTTTACGCGCAGGCGCGCTAAAAAAACGTGCACAAGAACAGATCAACACACGCTAACACTCGCTAACACTGTAATCGTCGCAACTCGCGCCCTTATTTATCTCTTTGTATTCGTAAATTAGGGGTTGTCAGGATTTCAGACAACATTTTTTCTCCAGAAGAGGGAATAATCAAATGTGGAGGTTCTTTTTGTTTTGGTTAGTTTTCAGGCAATTCATCCTGGCAAGTCAGAATTGTGCGTCAACACCGACAACCACTATTATTTCTATATAAAAACCTCACTTTAGCTCGTTCTTGTTCTTCTTTAAGGACTTCCTCGATTTTCTTGGCGGTCTCCTTTCTCTCCTCTGCAAGATTTTCTTCGAAAATTTTCTAAAACAAAAAGAACTCGTTTACTATTTCTACATTCTATATTTCCTAACAAGACAACTAAGAAATGACGATCTATAAAGCTATCAGAAAAAGAGCAGGAACGTCTGTTGGGTGTTTCGTGAGGCCATTCAGATTTTCGCATGCTGAATTTTCAAACTATTCTTTATATAGCTACATCGAAAAGATTTTGAAAAACTGCCAGGTCTGTTGTTCTTTCAAACAGTTTACATCGAAATGCCCGAGTGTAAAAGCAACTGGCACTATAAGTTGATAGCAAGTTATACATCCACGTTCACAGTTCACAGCAAATAATTTGTTATTGGGGCAATATAAAACTGATTTTAGAAACGAGCATGCCCAAGTTTTTTTACGTTTGGACTGCCATGGGTTTTTAGAACTTTTATTGGCATAATATTCCCTCCTTTCCCGTGGGAAGAAATTCCCGTCCCGCACGGGACTGTTATACTTTCCCGTGAACGGTACTGCAACTATACTATAGCTACCTTTTGTTCTGCTATAAAACTTTCAAACTCTTTTTTCTGCTCATTTATCAACTCTTCTGTCAAAACCTTCCCGCGAGCTTGTTCCTCCTGGAAAGTATATAGCATTGGTTTGTGGATAGTGATAAAGGTTATAACTCCTAAGTTTTTTCAAGCACCTTCTTTAATTTGGATTTTTCAAGGACTGTTCAAGTGCCCTTGACATTGATTACTAACATAAGCGCTTCTCAAGGGTTTTAAGCACCTGAACGTGAGTGGCATAAAATTGCATAAAAGTGCCTTTAAAATCAAGTCTTTTTTTGTAAAAAAAATTAATCTATTAAATAACAATTACCTTAATAATATACATTGCCTATGTAAAGATTGACTAAATAATAATAGGTAGGCAAAATGTATAGAGGTATTTAGATATGTACAATGATGTTCATTATAGAGACCTTTAGTTTGACGTTTACGGCAAACGCCAAACCGCTAACAAAGTTTGTGTTTTAACTCCACTATCTTTAAGTGTGCGGCAATTTCGCTTACTTACAATCGTTCTACATAAAACTTGTGATGTTCAGCAGTAATGTAAGAGAGCAATAGGCTATTTCTGATGTATTTAGAAAAGCAGCTAATTCAGTTTGCCGTATATCTTTCACGTTCGCCGTATAAATTTTAATGCTTGAACGGCTGAGTGTGTATATGCAGTCGTGCGTACGAAATCGCTCAGCTTAGCCACTGATCTATGTAAAAGCCTGCAGTTATATTTCATGGAACGCGTACGTAAAGCAAAGGAACGCATTTTGGAACGTGTTCGGAACGCTTTCGGAACGCGATTGGAACGCGAACGCAGTGTTAAGTTACTTCTGAGCAGTACTGTGCAGTACTGTAAGGTAAGCAATGTTTCGTTACGTGTACTGGCTTTAAGGCAAGTTAGCTTTATTTGAAATAATAGCAAGCGTCATCACGTTACAAGCGTACTGTAATATGTATTGTGCATAGACGTACCATAGTCTGTCGGGAAAATTTTCAATGTAAGGTTTATATTATGAGGATTTTTTTTAAAAACAGTCTGGAAAGATTGAATGGACAACCTGAATTTGGCATTGTGGGCAAATTAACGTCTGCATGAACGTTCGCTGGGACGCATCGCAAAACCAAGTTTATTAAAATGGTGATTTGTGGTGGAAACCATAATGAGATCTATCCGGTATTAAATTGTGATGGAGCAACGATATTTTTATCTCAGCCACACGTTATCAGTCATATTTAGACAACAGGCGCCGGTTGTTCGAAAGGCGCTTAGCCTTTAGCCGGATAAGTTCAAAATGGAAACAAAATTATCTCTTTATTCCAGAAATGAACAAAAATATTTCGAAGTAAATATCTTAATTTTCAATGGAAGTACATAATTATTTAATGCATAAAATGCAGGTTCAGTCATTCACAAGATGTATGAGAGTGCTTTTTAAATTTTGGCTTATCCACGGTTTAAGCTAAACGACATAAGAACAAACAGCCGCTAATAAACATTTATGCGACAGTTGTGACTGAAGAAAAATCTTGAAAATTTCAACGATCAGCAAAATATTTAAGTCCGCGTTTATACTACGTGCTTTGACCAAGCCTGGACCAGGCCTAGGCTTGGATGTGAACATTGTTTATCCGGCCTACCCCAGAGCTGAACCTGACCTGGGGCAAGATTTTGGTAATGTGAACAGGCTTTACCTAGTCCTGGCAAGTTTTGAACTTAATATAGTTATATTACCATTTTCGGCGTGTTTTGGGTGTTTTTTTCAAGTGTTTTGTCAATTACTTTGGTTATCCGATATCATCAACAAGGACGACAGTGTGAACGTGGCACATATTACCTGGACTTGTCCTAGACCTGTAGTGTTAACGCGGCTTAAATCTGTCTTGTATAAATTATTACTTACCTCCACAGCCTTCAAAACAGCTCCCTTTCCACGTTCTCTTTCTTCCGCAAGACAATCTTGTAATTCAGCCTATAACATTGAAAATGTTTACCCTGAGCATTTCAAATATAGTTTACATTTATATATAATGAGCAGCTATGCACAATAAAAAAATATGAGACAAACAAAATACATGTGTACTACACGTACATAAAGGTTAACCAATAACGAATAGGGAGAATATGTGATGATGAGCTTCTATAGTAGTGAAGAAAGTCAGAAATGAGTGAGTTTCTTTTTTCATAGTCGAATTCGTTTTATACCCCTGATTTGATCTGGTATAAAAATTCTTAGTTACTCAACGAATTTAAGGTTAAAGAGAATCGTAAATATTCAGTCTGACAGACAGTGAGTAGGCGGCTATTTTAATCCAATTCCTTACTTGATGTTTAGCTTTTTGTTCTTCTAAGGCTTCTTCTAATTTCTTTAAGTTAGTAGCTTGTTCTTCTTTTACCACCAGTTTGAGATTCTCTCCCTAGAAAACCATATTGACACGTTTAGTTATACAGGGTGTCCTAAAAAAATGTCCCCTCTATTGAAATCAAGCCTTTGCTGGAATCTGATTGCCTTAATATTATGATAAACACAATTGAAAGCAAGACGCTTTACTTGAATGCGTCAACCTATAATAACTTTGCTATTTACACACTACTGCGTTGATCATGCATTCAATTTCCAACAAAAGCTTCATTTAAGTAGGGGGAACTTTTTTGGGACACCCTGTACTAGTAGTTCCCTAATCACTTCATTTAGGAAGAGATCATGTCGGGAATTGACAGATAAGATGATTATATACTTATATAGACAAATGTTTCCTTTACTTAATTATATTTTAGTTATGTAACAGTGATTGATAGGATGAAGGTGTATGTGGTGTGGTCACGAGAGCGAGAAAGTTAGTTGGACTGAAACATTCAGTGAGTGAGGAACTGTGAGCGAGAGAGAGTAATTTATAGCCCGTGTGCTATCTGATGGTGTGAGTGGTGAGGTTCGTTTGGAAATTTGTAATCGACATTTGGAATACTTTACTTCGTTAATATATAAATATACAATGAAACAGAACTATGTGACTTGTTGAGGATCACATTTGGAGGCAAATTCTTGACAATTATAAAAATCGATTAAACTAAATTTACTGCTTTGATATTTATATATGAGAAACACCAGGCTGAGAGATTGTAGCTGTTTATCAGAGCTGTGAGATAAAATACGATAATGCTGTTGTTCACAAACCTGTTGATTGATAAACGTTGTAAATTTTTCTCTTTCTTCCTCAAGTACTTGTTGTAAATGTTTTTCATTTTTCTCTCGTTCTTGTGCAACGGCTGTTTTTGACAACTCCTAAAATGAGGATTAAATCATAAATTAGGACCCAGTCATGCATCTCTATTCTAACGCCGAGGTTCACAGCCTGGGAAATGGTACACCACTAACAACAGTTGTTTCATCGGCGAAGATACAATTAGTTTATCACCTGCTAAGACAAATATTAGTTCAATAAAAAGTGGTTTAGAAAATAAACAATGGTAATTGCAGGTGAGTACAATTTGGTGCGAAAACGAACGCGTGATCACAAGTTTGACTTCATATGAATTAACGTGATCTCGGATTTCTCGCACAAGTACACAACTCCGCAGCTTATAGTAGTGATAGTTCCTAACGAGGAGTATCGTATAAGCGCGTCGAGCGTCGACCAACAACAGCTGGAGGATCTCAGGTGTATTTTTTCGTAACGTTTCATGTTTTTGGTCCTAATAAGCGTAAGTTGCTACTTTGATTCTTCTAACTGTCTTAAAAATTTGATTTTTGTTCAACGAAGGAAGTGTAATAACAAATCCACAAAACGGTAGTTCAGGTGCTAAAGATACAGCTGGTTTCTTGTGCAAACGTCTATATCTGCTGGAATGAAGTGTTTCCCGAATGTATTATTGTGTAAAGGAAAGAATCACAAAGACCAGAAAAAAAGCACAACTGAATATCATCAATGTACTATATTGCGATTGATGTCCTATATGACAAACCTTGTATTCTTCCACAATCAATGCAAAAGCCTCTTGTCCTGCCTCTCTTAGGTTTTTCAACTGGTCTTCATGCTTATCCTAAATAAACAAAAGTGCCGCGCTAAATTGCCATGCCTTGTCACAAAATACACCTTCACGTCTATATGTATGTGCTCGGTTACTTGATGAATTTTGTAGTACACGAAGTATTCCAGGTGCCATAAAACTTAAACCGCTGCCTTAAGGGCGAGCCTTTTTCTTGAGATATAGTTTACTTGCAAAGTTTACTTTTTGTTTACTAAAAATAGTCTGGCTGCAAGACTCAAGTAAATGCTATGCTCACTTCAAAACATTTCTCTGCAAGTGTTAATCGTGGTAAACTTTAGCGGCACTACATCATACACTACGAAGCGTTAATGGCATTATATTTGTCATATTTCATGATATTTGTTCATGTCTATTAAAATATTTGCTTAAATTGTTTGCCTATACGTGTTGTAATTTGTCATCTATCTCTTTTCACATAAAACTAGTGAATGTATGTATAAGCTACTTTGTGGATATACAACTGTAAAAAGATGACTATCTAGAGTTGGTTCTCTCAAAGGAAAAAATCCACCGATATTTAAAAAATCAAAATACATATAAAATTGAGTCAACCGTATAAGATATGTAAGCACTACAGTACGATTTAGGCCCCGTTTAAACGATATACCGGATGACTTCCGGAGTGGGTCAAATTTTATTAAAAAGCAGTATAAAAATTTACAGTCAGAGATCAAAATAAATATACGGAATCTATCAAGACTAATAAGCATTTGCTACTAACCATTGCCCTTTAAAGACAAACGAAGATATCGTGAAAAGCGAATCAGGTATAGTGTAAACAGGGCCTTAGATTTGATAGATTAATACACGCCTTACCTGTAATTCATTGTATTTCTCCTTCTGCTTTTCTATTTCCAAATACTGTTCCTTTGCTACATCTGTTGCGGCGGCATATCTTTTCTTCATTTCCTCCAAGCTCTAAACACATATCATTAAACACCGTTCAATAAATATGACAAGAATTAAAACGATCACTTTGACTGATTTAGGAAAAATTCTTATTACTTATAATTACAGACATTTAGCAAATTTAGCAAACACGACGTGACGCCTAAAACGCTGCGAAAATCGCGTGACGCGACCATAGATGGACAGACATTTCACACCGTTTGCGCGACGTCCTAGGCGCACGTCGTGTTTGCTAAATTTCTCTATAACCTAATATAGTATGTACATTACCTCATACAGTACACTGTATACTTACTGTACTTTACACTGTCGTCATACAGTACGTTACCTCATACACTACATTACGTCATACACTACATTACCTCATACACTACGTTACGTCATACACTACATTACGTCATACACTACATTACCTCATACACTACATTACATCATAAACTATACATTACCTCATACACTACATCACCTCATACACTACATTACTTCATATAGTACATTACCTCATACACTACATTACCTCGTACACTACATCACTTCATACACTACATTACCTCATACACTATACATTACTTCATACACTATACATTACTTCACACACTACATTACCTCATACACTACATTACCTCATACACTACATTACCTCATACACTACATTACCTCATACACTACATCACTTCATACACTACATTACCTCATACACTATACATTACTTCATACACTATACATTACTTCATACACTACATTACCTCATACACTACATTACCTCATACACTACATTACCTCATACACTACATTACCTCATACACTACATCACTTCATACACTACATTACATCATACACTATACATTACTTCATACACTATACATTACTTCATACACTATACATTACTTCATACACTATACATTACTTCATACACTATACATTACTTCATACACTATACATTACTTCATACACTACATTACCTCATACACTACATTACCTCATACACTACATTACCTCATACACTACATTACCTCATACACTACATCACTTCATACACTACATTACCTCATACACTATACATTACTTCATACACTATACATTACTTCATACACTACATTACCTCATACACTATACATTACCTCACACACTACATTACTTCATACACTACATTACCTCATACACTACATTAAAGGAATACCAAATGATTTTCCGTGCAGGATTGCGTGATCCATGCACGCGGGATGTTGCGAGACTTTCGGAAAGCGTGAAAATACACGAGCCGTAGGCGAGTGTATTTTCACGCTTTCCGAAAGTCGAGCAACATCCCAAGTGCATGGATCACGCAATCCTGCACGGAAAATCATTTGGTAATTGTTTTATAAAATAACTGTAGTGAAACAACGGTTAACTTTATTAAAATTAAATTTCGCGTGCAGGATTGTCTAAAACGCGTGCAGGATTGTCTGATCCTGCACGGCTATTGACCAATCACATTGCGTGTTTCACTATAGTTATTATATAATACCTCATACACTACATTACCTCATACACTACATCACTTCATACACTACATTACCTCATACACTATACATTACCTCATACACTACATTACCTCATACAGCACAACTCGTATTGCTTTTTAAATCACGTACGGTATTAAGGACTACTAAGTTTTCGTAAAAATGACGTATGTAGTCATCTGTGAACCGCTTCGATTCTATCGCATCAGTACCAAATATTACGAACAACACAATATGACAAATCTCGTAGCTGTAGCAGGTGCTGCAATCAAATCTGAAGCTTTCTATACCCTTTAACGGTAAATTACCTCCTCCAGTCGAATCTTTTCTCTTTCAGCAAGTGACAATTTTTCTTCGGATATATGTAACTTATTTTGATAGTCATTCATTTTTTCATTAGCTTCCTTTAACTCCCCTTGTAAATTATTAACTCGAGTTTCATCCACAGCTGGCGATTGTGCTACTGCAGTCACGGTGCGATGTTCTCTAGATGGTACGGGGGGTGGCGCTGACTGTGGTACGGGGGGTGGCGCTGACTGTGGTACACGTGGTGGCGCTGACTGTGTAGTCAACTCGGTGCTCTGCGTAATAAATAGTTCGTTTGAAGGAATAAGATTGGATTTGGTGGGCATGTTGCTTTGCTGTGCTTGTTGGTTGTGAGGCAGTTCTCCATGAGAAGAAGTAAGTTGGGGGGGAAGACCACTGAGAGGGTTTGGCTGGGTTGGTGGTCCTGTGGGAGTTTGGATGGACCCTGCAGTAGCGGTAGTTTTCTGTCCAGGTATACCGCTGTGAGCCGTACTAAGCATCGCATATTCCCCAGGGTCATTAAGTAGGTTCGTATCTTGCGTGCGTGGCGGTGGAGAGGGAGATATATTTACACTCTGAGCAGTGCTAGTTGGGAATGCTGGTTTCTGTGATGCAGCTGTTGCTTGGGTATTTAAGGCCGGTTGAGGGGAAGCAGGAAATGCGGTGGCCCAGGGAAAACCCTGTGATGCAGCAGACGAATTTCCAAAAGGGTTTGATGCAGGCGATGCTGACTGAAATGGAAGTAGACGAAAAAGTTGGGTTAGTACAGCACATGACCAAAAATACCATGACTGTATTGTAATAATGTCACGAAAGTAGTATGACTCAGGTGAATACAGTATTACTGTACTATAGTGAATACTGTATATAAATTATTATGATGGCCAATGGTACTCAATCTGCGTTCCTAGATGTACTATCATGTCACACCCTCAAAAATTAACTTAATTGACCACGGTGAGAACGGAAACAACGTCCTTTGCAGGCTTTATTGCTGGTCCAATGTTCTGCCAATAGACCTATCTCGCGATGACGTTAAATGTTCTCCACAAAAACTAAAGAGCCAATGACTCTTTGTTTGACATCAGCCCTTCCTCGTTTAAGGTCATTTTGAGAAAGGTCTATTCTGCTCTAGCTAGGTGAAGCATGAGTGTCGGACATCTGAGTGTCAGCACCTGAAGCTACTCTAACTGCAAGCCTTGGTCAAAATGTCTTGTAAACATTATGCATAGTTTCTCTCAACGCTTGGTGGAATTCAGTTTAATTTGGGGGGTGGTGGTTGATGTGTATTTCAAAACCCAATCTAACATTTTCGATGTAACTGTTATGTCTTAAAGTTATAAAGATAGTCTGTATAACTATTGGACGAAGTTTGCCGGTTCAATTGAATGTACTGCACATTTTTTTATTTTAGCTTGTCTGGTTGGTAGTTATAATAGCACCATCACAAGCACCTGGCAGCTTTTTAAAGCACTATATAAGTGTGGTTAAATTACTAAATAAGACATAATTATACACAGTATCAAAAATCAAAACCTATTATGGAAAACAATGAGGTGTGATTTAATGTTTTAAAACAAAACAAATTAGTAGACTAGCTTCCCTCTAGTATTATTTATTGTGGATAACTTTGCTACCACAGGATCAACTTCAATTCTTAATATCTGTTTTCCTTGCAGCAATATTAGCTGATGAACTAATTTATTAGCCCAAGCAAAAATGGTCACTAAGAGTGGTAAACAGGAAACACTTACTTCAAATCCACCAAAATCAGCCCAGTCATCATCACCCTGAAAGATTTTCAAACTTGAATGTAATTAAAACAACTATAATAATTAAATTAAAAATAATAATTAAAACAACTATAAAACGGAAGATGAGGGAAATGAGGATGCTAGCTATTCGACAAGTGGAACATAAAAATATAACTAAAAAGCATGCAGTCATAAGAGGCCAATTGAACATTTTAAACTTGGCGGAAGTGGTTCATGTGTTCCTTAGAATCCTTCTGGAGCAAGTTTAAAGACTTTTTAAAACTCCAGGGCAGTTTAACCCAAGGTGCATACAACATTGTAAATATGTATGCATGATATGTATGTAAACTTGAGGCAAGTTGCTTAGTATAGTCAAATTATACAGACACAATCTGTAACTAGGTGATAAAAGCAAAGGTCGCAATGTGACTGCTGAGGTAAGTGATGTCATAACTTTAGTTTGTCATATATAATATATTACTATTATTATACAGTATTATTATTTATATTTTTATTTATATTATATGAAATTCAAGTTTGAAAAGAACATTTTTTCATAGTAGAGGGAAATTCTTATTAAAAAACTGTACATAATATCATCAATTTTCCCTCAACTATACAATGGAATTTATTGAGAAGCCTCTGGCCTGACCTGGGCTGCTGAAACTCAAAAGTCAAGGGGCATGTCATAAAAACCATTGAGTAATAAATAAAAACGACAAATCGTGTTATAGAAGTGGGAATAAACAAGTACACAGAATATAGGTCAGGTAGATCATTAGATGGCATTCGGTCTCATATAAAAGTGTATCATTTATGTTATGAAGTACCTATACAGCATGTTGGTAAATATACTATAAATATTTTGAATTTTGATCGATATTTGTAAGTGTGTATGTACCACAACAAGAGCAAATATAAACACGCCACGCGAGAAATTTTTATAACGGTCATTTCTAAACAAGTAAACATGCTCTTAGTTTCTTGTTAGAATATCAAAATAAATGTAAAAACCACCTCTTTCCCGGCGTCTGATGTTTTGAAGGCTGCCCAGTTGTCCGCCATTTTTAGAAAATCCTATTAATCTATTGGTTAATTCCGCAGAAGAAGATCAGATATTCCTCAGTTTTCCCATATATTTCGCTAATTTAAATAATTCTTGCCTTCTTTCATAACAATTTTGAATGAAAGTTCGCAACAACTATTAAATGGGCCGCCTATGGAAACAGACACTTCAACAATGCAAATGCCGGGAAGAACAGCTCCCCTAGAAAGCCGCTTTAGGTTTTTATACTCCAAATAATAACAGGTGTAAAATAGTGGGTATATAGGGTGTACCTATTCGAGTCTTATGAGTAGAAAGGTAAGAACGTGACATAACTTGAGTAGAAAGTTAAGAACGTATGCTGAAGGAAATAAACTGACCGCTCCAGAGTCCAGGCTGAAAAAAAGCATACCTCAGGTCAGGAGGGCATTGCCGCGCATCCTTCGTGAAAAGTCAGTTGATCCTTACGTTTGAACCCCAACAACAACAATAATTTTCATTTACAACGCCGCCTTTTCGAAAATTTTGGCAAAACATGCTTATGACTTTTAGATTTTCTAAAGAATAGGATGTTTATGAACATAAATATTTTAATATGCCGGTTGTATCTCGGAATCTATACTCATCCGGAACATTTGCGTAGTTTGCTAATTGAGGGTTACTATCAGGCCTTATCAGGCTAAGAAACTTAGTATCTGAAATTAATTGTAATGCAATTGATCAAAGTCTCATCAAAGATATCCATATTTTACAAACTTTTATTGCAAGTTTCGTAAACGCTCTTCAAAAGTAATTGCTTTAGATAATTAGATTCCACTTTTCAAGGAAAACGTTATAGAAAGTACGAACCCCAATGACTTGGGATTGTCGGGGATGGTTCAGTGAACTGGATGGTTGTGTTTACAAGACCGGAAATCGAAATATTTGACTCTCAAAGGTTTTTTAAATAGTATGTAACTTTAAGGTTTCAGCAGGTCAATTTATTCTCCCTCGCATTTTTTCGAGGTTAGATTGAGCAGCAGACACCCTGTAGATGAACTATGCATAGTAGACGAATGTGTCAAATCAAACAAAATCGCGCGTTTAGAATTTTTCGTAGTTCCCACCCCGTATTTATACTAACAGACGAATGATGCGTCAAGACGAACAATCACCCGATATCAGACAAACTATCACGATATCACCCGCTCGCTTATAACGCAAGGATGTGATCACTTCTGCCTCGGTTGCAAGGGAATACAGGAACTCTTTGCGCCATCTTGACCAAAATTGATTCACGAGGAACTGGACACGTCGCCAACGTTTCATCAAATACATATCTGCCTTCTGGAATTCGCCAGTTGGTGGAAGAAGGACTCGGGATTTCATCGTTCACAAGTGATCGGAGTATAGGGGGTGGCCTTCGTTAGGTGAAGTTAGGTTGTTAATGGTTAACGGTTGGCTATTGACGATGGCTTCAGGTTCACACATGAACGACCTTGATGATTAACTCGCTGATGGTGATGTCGGATTACTAACGCAGTGATTTGGCCCCTTTTGTGGCAGGATGATTGGGTGTTTCACGTGGTAAGGAACTTCTGCGCTGGTGAGGCGTCCACCGACACGAAAAACGTCTCCTTTGCCAAGAAACGGATCTTCTTCATTACCGCCTTTTGTTTTTGCACCTCATCTCGACCAGAGCCGAGTTTCTGGTTGGAACGCTTGGATTTCCCTTGAAAACGAGTTCCGCTTGCAGGAGCTTTTCAATGTTTGACTGTACGTACTTAGAGCATGGTTTGTGGATGCCGCTGGAGGTTTAGAGTGAGATTCTCAGAATCGCAGCTATGGCTCTCTTAGCTTGCAATTAGTGACAATTAGAGAAGTACTCGAGACGCTGCGGAACCGTCACGGGTGCCTTGGACGTTGCGTGTGTCGCAAACACATTTGCCTTGACTTCAGGTTCATTACTGACAAGAGGGAGGGGCATCTAGGCTAGGATCACTGTCCCATAGGAAAGGGAGACCGGAAAGCCATCGTTTTCCATCAACTGAGAACTCACGAATCGTTAATCCCCTCGAGGCGTCGTCCGCGGGAATTTCCTTGCTTTCAATGTACTTCCATCGATCTGGAGTCGAGTCATCTCGAATTTGTTGCTCCCGGGTTGCAAAACTACGAGGTTCATTTTCGATGTAGCCCAATACTACCTTACTGTCCGTCCCGTAGATATCAGTCATCTTGTCATAGGTGATTTCGCGATGTAGCTGATGTTCTTCAGCAGGCTCACGCGGGACCTTCCCATCGCTAGGGTGCAATGGATCTCGTCTTTCTCGTCTTTGGCTGTGGCATGGGGTCATCCCAGTCATCTCCATCTCTGGGAGAATTTGCTTGGCTATGAGCAGGAATGGTGATACGAAACCAAGAGGACATTATACTGAGCTAACAGTGGAGAGGATAAATGTTTGGAAAACACGGAGTCAACGTAAATTATACATATATTCATAAACGAAGGATCACTCATGAGTCTATACTATTTTTTATACCACAGTAATAGTATAAAAGAAAGAATACACAATAACAAAATATCATAGCTATAATGCCTCTTGCTCAAAGTCATAAAATTATTGTTGTAGCTAACTACATTACGTGTCCTTATATCACCTTAAGTCACACCAAAACTGCCACATCCAATTTCCTCTTTGTTTACAATATCCTCCCATTTAAATTGAGGAATATTATTTATGTTTAAGGGTAGGTTTTTCGGACGTTTATTTACCATTTGCGGAATAGCAAAAACGTTACGCGAATTTGACGCCATGTTGTTTAAAACACGCTATCAAATTTGCATAATTCACGTTGAGTCATTGACCACTGAGCTTGGCAGACTTCCAAACATTTGTACTCCTTGTTTTCCATATTTTTAACAGACTCCGTGTTTTCCATAATTTGTGACTCGACTTTCCAATTTTAACAGACCATTTTCCATAATTTGTGACTCCGTGTTTTCCAATATTATTACGTCAGAACTAAGGTAATTTTGACTCCGAAACTCCGACTCCGGAACTCTACTCCGTGTTATCCATGTGGCATACAACAAAAATTATTGATGAGATGCAGCCCACTTATTCCCTGAGACATGCAAGTGCATGTATATCTTAATCATAATTGTGGCTTAGCTTTATTGCGATGATTGTTGTCAGAACATGGTACAGAATCTTCAAATTTCGATTTCCTGTTTCATGAATTCAAAAGATTCATTACACACAAGAAAGCAATGATGAAAAATTTCGACTTTTAAACGTGTTGCACAACCTCTACCAATACCGTACTTGTGACTTCCGTTTCAGCAAGCGTCATAACATAGGGGGTAAATATTGCCGCAGATTCAGTGTTCTCTAATTAAAGTAAAGTCTGTCGCCTTCATATCATCAAAAGAGAAACAAATCAATAAAGGTAAGCATAAAGTCAATTCAAGTTGATTTATGCCTGTATGAAATACACTGGCGGTAAAAAAGAACTGCTCAAATGTTGCTATTATCGTATGTAACAGGAATCGTGACAATCTATCTTTTATTGTACACTAGCGGTCAAAAAGAACTGTTTGAATACAAATTCATAAAAAAGAAGCGAATATAGGAGAGGGCTTCATAGGTATCTTGTATAATTCTCTTATTCCAAACAATATTTCAATAATGTAATGCAACGTGCCACACTTCCAAGAAATAGTGAAACAATGGTTTCAGCTAGGAAGAGGGAGTGACAGAAATGGATTGGCCTGCACAGTCAAAAGACCTTAACCCTATTGAAAATCTGTGGGACAATGTCAAGAAGATAGTGCAAGAAAGGAAATAATTCATAAAGCGTCTATGATTTATGCGTTGCTGTAAAGAATGTCCCCAGGATGAATTTCTTTTGACCGTGAAGATAACCACCTTAACAGAAAGTATGTCGCCGGTGTAAGGCCGTTATCAATTATAAGGCCAAAGGAGGGTCAACAAAATATTAATATTTCATATAGCTTAGCATGTAATCTAGTCGATATTTACTCGTATATATTGTTAGAGGGACAGTTACGTTCATTTGAGAGCATTTTAATTTGTTTTGAGCAGTTCTTTTTGACCGCCAGTGTATTTATTTCTTCATTAAACAAGCAACCGCTGTAGCTAAGAAGGTTTGACAAAGCTAATTTAATGCACAAACACACATCGACGGCTAAGATCCCTTGCAAATCCCTTGATGCCTGGAATGTTGCCCAGAAAATGTGGCGTCTGCCGTCGTCAGACGCACTGTCAAATGCACTGTCATTTTTTTTGGGAAAAGTTTCAATTCCAAACGGTGATTTGGATCGCAAAATTTTATTTAAAGATCATTTGTTCATTTCTTGATGACATACGGTTCAAGGACAACCGCAAATAATAACTGTGAAATTCATGAATATTAAGTGTTGAGTTTTTTATACACCATGTACATATGCTTTTCATACCCATGTAAACGTATAAATCTGTATTTATGTCTCTGTATATATCTCTGAGAAAACTAAGTAAACACTGGCGTTAACTTTGGCGTGCTGCGCATGTGCCAGTCTTCAATATATTATAAAGCTTCTGAACAGTCATAAACAATACAGTTTATAATACTCATTTAGATGCCTTGCAAACCTAAATGTTGTTCGATCGCAAAGTTCAGAAGCACATCGTACTTTAGAAAATATAAAAGTTCAATTGAATACATGTTATTGTAGAAGACAGAAATGTGTCTTTTAAACAGACATTATGAGATCATCTTTCTTTTGCATTTTGTAAGTGCGTCTATTTTACATGTCATCACTTTTAAATGATTTACTTTAATAGCACGTCTAAGCGCAAGTTGCATCGTCTGCGCTACAAACTGCAGCAAAACTGGGCACAGCACATTGTATTATTATTATGCAGAACAATTGTTATAAGTTTCTTTAATTGATACGCGAGGTAGTGGATCGTTACAATGGTTTTAACTAAAGTTCGCTAATCTTCTCTTCTTTTTCTATCTTCGATCTTGATCGTCGTTAAATG